TGAGGTGGGCGGGTGGGTGGGGGATGGTGCTGGCCAGGTGAGGGGATGGGACAGATGGGGTGGGAGCAGGGCCGGAATGGGGGGGTGTCTTTGCATGACCTGCGCCTTTTGCACAGTGGCCACACCCTCGGCATGCCCAGCAGCAGCCCCCCTCTGCCCTGTGCAGGGTCATCAGCCGTGCCCCTGGCCTCAAGCTGGTGGTGGAGACCCTGATATCGTCCCTCAGGCCCATCGGCAACATCGTCCTCATCTGCTGCGCCTTCTTCATCATCTTCGGCATTCTGGGGGTGCAGGTGGGCGGCCCCGCTTGCCGTGGGTGTCCCGCCTGAGAGATGATGGTCTTGTGGTCGGTAGCCAGTGGGCAGCCCCAGGAAGGCTCAGCCTTGCCCCTCGCTCTGCTGTCCCAGGAGGCCCCTTGTGGGGGGCTGGCGGGCTGGGGGGGCACTGGGTTGGCCCTCTGGGTGACCACCCGCCCTGTCAGCTCTTCAAGGGCAAGTTCTACTACTGCGAGGGCACTGACACCAGGAACATATCCACCAGGGCAGACTGCCGGGCTGCCCACTACCGCTGGGTGCGGCGCAAGTACAACTTCGACAACCTGGGCCAGGTGGGCAGGGTGAGGGTGGGGCCGGGAGGGGGAAGGGGGCTGGTTGGGAGCAGGGCCAGACCTGGGGTCGCCTGAGGTCCGCACCCAGGAGATCCTTGATGGCCTCGCCCTGGTCTTTGGGAAGAAGAAATGGCGGGACCACAGGACTCCAGAGCTGTGGGCGGGTCTGCTATGTGGGGCCTGTGGGGTCTCCGGGGTCGGATGCAGGGCCGACAGGGAGCAATGACCACCCTGCTGTGGCCCCACAGGCGCTGATGTCCCTGTTCGTGCTCTCCTCCAAGGACGGCTGGGTGAACATCATGTATGACGGGCTGGACGCGGTGGGCATAGACCAGCAGGTGCGGGCAGGCCGTGGGCAGCCCTGGCCCTTCCTGTGGACCCTTTGGGGATCCTCTGGGTCGCCTCAGGGAACCACCTCCGAAACCTTCTGGAGAGTTCCGTGTCATGGGGCCCCTTCTTTGGCCCTGCAGGCTGAGCACCGCGGGGCCCTGGGGCGTGGCTGTCCCTGGGCAGGGCCCTCGGGCCGCGGGCGCCCACGCATCCTCATGTGTTACA